TACAGACACACACAGACAACCTCTCGTCAATATGCGTTTTCTGCATTGCATAGCTGCAAAAACCCGTAATAAACAGCGGCGCGCACCGGGGCAGCTGGAGCGATCATGCGTTTTATGCAATCCCGTTCACCGTAAATCTGCCTACTAATGATTTTCACTGCTTTGCACTTTGGTCTGTGCAAAAACTAGTTAAAATGTCTGGTTCTTAAATTTCCTATTAAAAATTCCACACAAACGAGACAACAATTCCTTTATCAAAACTTTTACGGGGCTGTACATGGAACCAAGGGTGCGTGAATGCTGAATGGAAATTTGCGAAGTCGTACTTTTGTAGAGGAGATCGCCCCAAAATTTTAGATTCTCAACTTCTGCGTCCCCGAGATGATAATTTTCCTCGCCGAAACTTTCACGGGGCCGTAAGTGATACTTGGACGAGCGGGAAGCTGAATTTAAAATTACAGGACTGTATATGAACAGAAAACATCACCATAAAATTTAATTTCCTGGCTTTTATGGTTCTCGAGATAATAATTTCCCCGCCGAAACTTTCACGGCGCCGTAGGTGATACCCAAAAGCGCGGGAACGCTGAATTTGAATGGACAAGGTCGAGTGTAGGCAAAAGGTTATTACACTAAAATTTCAGCTTCAGTGGTTCCCGAGATAATAATTTATCCGCAAAAATTTTCAAGAGGCCGTTCGTGTTACTCGTGGGTAACAGGAAGTTGAATTTACATTTTCTGGGTCATGTGTGGGCAAGGGACACGCCTACAAAATTTCAGCCTTCCAGTTTCCGTGGTTCCTGTGATAAAAGCTTTACCCGCCCAAACTTTTACAGGGCCGTGCTTGCTACCCGCGGCTACGAGACGGCTGAATTTAAATTTGCGGGGTCACAATTGGGTAGGGAACGTTCCCTTAAATTTTCAGCTTCCTAGCTTTTGTAGTTCCAAAGTTGAAAGTAGCGGACAAGTTGCTACAGGCACACACACACACACACACAAACGCACAGACTTGTACTGCTGTTACACAGCACAAAACGCATAAAAATCAAGGGCAGTGATTAGCGCAAAGCACCAAGTGATGTAGTTTCGCCTACATGAAGCGTCAAAAATTTGCTGCATCGATGGCCGCGCCAGAATAGAAACTCACATATCGCAAATGCACATATTTTCGTTTTTCAAAGTGGAACATTAGAGGAATCAGTGTTGCCAATGTGACGGTCAAAAGTTAAACCCATCTCTGCACACTTTATCAACTGTAAGCACAGGATCTCGAAAGTGGCGTAGGTCGCAGCACTTTACTAAGCAATCATTACGCTAGCAAACATGGAATTCAGAGAAAAGCGGTGAGAGGGAAAAAGAATGATGGCTGCTCAAAATGCAAGCTTATAAACTGTAAGACATACAGCGATACCGACTTAATTACAAAGTGAATAATCGGAGCCTTTGCAAATAGTGGACTGGCTGTCACAAACCTGAGTTTGTATTGGATTGAAATATTGAAAATTGTAAACCGACTCGAACATCTTATTTTTCAGTACTGTTACAGGCAAAGGATCCAAATCGAGCAGGTCTGAAACTCGAAATAAGCGAACAGAAATTTCAGAAATATAAAACCAGAAATCTAAAAAAGTAGCAAATCGCAACATCAGCAATGCCCTCCGTGACTCCTTAGGAATTCTGTGAGATATCAACGAAGCGCTGTAGCTGCCACCCACACTGAAGAAAAAACCAAAAGGCATTAGCTGCATTGCACAAAGAATTATTTAAAGAGGGGAAACACCTTTCTCCTCCTCTTTTGGCCTGTTTACCCCGCTTATTATGTGTCCTTTGCGAATTTTCTTTGTTCCTATACTCACCGGATAAGTTTCTAGGCGTTTTATCAACACAAAAATTGAAGTCTACGAAGCCTGTGAGGTTAATAAATCAAAGGCTTTTAAACTGTCACAAATGAATAAACGCTAACACCAACGGCTCAAATGCACTATTGCGGTAAAAAAAGATTACGATACCAGTATGTGGTCGATGCGATGATGGGAGCACGCAATTATGCATCGAAACGGCAATAATGCTATCGTCAACAACAAATCGATCATTCGCTACTCGAATTTGATAATTATGCGTTAGTTGCTGGCTCGTCACTGGTACCGTAAAAACGAGATTTTGTGGTTCACCATTACGAACCTGCAAATGCAAGAACTCACGGATATCATAATCGCTCTGAAATGTCTATATTAACAGGCGCTAGGGTCGATATTCGGGGTTAACATGTTTTACTTTAAAAAATAATACAACTGAACTCGTACCACGCTAATACGCTCAAATGGGCTTGGTGGAGCGGCGAAAAGCGCCTAATTCGAGGAAACGATATGGTTCGACGTCGTCACTCACAAAATCAGTCCTTCTAGGATTTGTAGATTCATTTCGACAAACTGGTGCTGATGCAAGCCAAAGTCGGAATTGCCCTCCGAAGGCATCGACAGTGAGAACAACAGATGGCTGTTCCCGCAAAGAATCACCAATCAGATCGTTTCCTTGTGTCTTTTAGGGACAGCGAAAAATGTGAAAACTCCGACTAAGGCCAGTATTTCAATTTTCAAAAAATGACATAAGTTCTGAAAATGCAGAACACGAGCACTATGCGTATCTGCCAGGAATCTGTTACTTCTCCTTTTTTCAGATTATTTATCCAGCTCATTTATCCCATCTTCTCCGCACAAAAATTTAAATATCACTTCCAATAGCGATAACTCCTATTTCATCATTGTGACCCCAACTGGAATACACTTAACAGCACTAAACAGCCAAAGCCAAGTGCAGACATCACTTAATGTACATTACCAAAGTAATTCCAAACGGGTAGTTTTAGTCTTAAAAAAAAGGAAAAAAACTGAAATGCTAACAGACCTTTTTGCGGTTTACCACAACCTGATCATGATGAATGATCAAATTTTCATTGATGTCT